GATCTTGCGAGAGTGAACTCTAACCTGCAGGTTAGAGTTCACTCTCACCACTGGACCACCAGGGAAGGCAGCATTGCCCCCTCCTCCATGGATTCCCGGCTCCCCACCCCCTCCCAATGTAAGAAGGGAGAAAGGGATATAACTTTTTTTTTATTATATATGAAAAAAATATATTTAAATTTAAATAAACACTCACACACACACAGCACCCAGACACACACAGCACCCTCAGACACACAGCACCCAGACAGAAACACACAGCACTCAGACACACACATAGCACCCAAACACACACAGCAGCCAGACACACAGCACCCAGACACACACAGCACCCAGACACACAGTACCCAGACACACACAGCACCCAGACACACACACAGCACCCAAACACACACAGCACCCCGACACACACAGCACCCAGACACACACAGCACCCTCAGACACACGCAGAACCCAGACACACACATCACTCAGACACACAGCAACCAGACACACACAGCACCCAGACAGAAACACACAGCACTCAGACACACACACAGCACCCAGAAACACACAGCACCCAGACACACACAACGCACATACACACACAGCACCCAGACACACACAGCACCCAGACACACACAGCACCCCCAGACACACACAGCACCCAAACACACACAGCGCACCCAGACACACACAGCACCCAAACACACACAGCACCCAGACACACACAGCGCACCCAGACACACACAGCACCCCCAGACACAAACAGCACTCAGAAACACACAGCACCCTAAGACACACACAGCACCCAGACACACACAGCACCCTCAGACACACACACACACAGCACCCTCAGACACACACTGCTCACCCAGATAGACACTGCTCCCTCAGAGAGACAGCACCCTCACTCACACAGCACCCACACACAGCACACTCCCACACGTATACAGCACACACACACACATATATATATAATAAATAAAATAACCCTCAGTGAGTTAACAGACAAAAAAATTTAGAAACCTAGAATGTGATGGCAGATAAAAACACCTTCACACACAGCATCCCTCTTACACACACACACACACTGAGCCCCTCACACATACAATACGTCCAAATATAAATATATATATACACACTACAGCAACCCTCACACGGCACCACTACACACATTACGCTCCAGATACATGCTAGATCCCTTACCTATATGCACTGTTAATCCTCTACACACAAACACACACACATACAATCTCCTATACACACTCTGAGTCCTTTACACACTAGATCTCCTACACACACACTGCCCCTAGCCACACATATTACACCACAAACACAAATTAAATTGACCTATTTATACAAAACCACACCACACTCTACACACACGCAATCCCACAAGCAGGTTCCAAACACATGCACCATACGCTTTCCTGGCCCTTTTGTCCACTGGTATCCCACTTGTGGAAACACCAGAGACAATTTAAAAGCAAACACAGCGCAAGCATATTATTAAATTTGCTTGCGCTGCGCAGAACAAATACAGGGCCTTTTTCTAATGCTAGAGCTCTTTAGCAGGGCTCTGCGCATTGAACCAACATGCTCACTTTGAGAGGGGGCGTGTTTGTCTCTAGCCCCGCCCCCTACGTCGGGGGCCGCTCTGATTGAAAAATGCCCGGGCCTAATTTTTTTCCCAGTCTGGCCCTGAATTACATTACACCGTGAGGCAATTTAATAATCTATATCCAGTATTCCTAATTCCAACAGTAAATTAGAATTGCCTGGTATTGGCAGTTTAAATTATATATTGAAAGATGCTTGATAGTTCAGAATTCGAGGTTTGTCAAACTCTGGCCCTCCAGATGTTGCTGAACTACAACTGCCATGAATCTCTGGCTATCTATTTCATACAAGGAATCATTGGAGGTATAGTTCAACAATATCTGTAGGGCTTTAGATAATGATGACAAAAGGCATTACAAGCCTACTTGTTCTCAAACCAATTTGCTTATCTCTCTCTAACAGGTGATGCAGTCCTTCAATTTGAGACGGAGGTGATATCTTTGTCCAAGCCAACACAGTGGCAGACACTGGTGAATGATGTTCTACCCATGCTATGCATTGGTTTGGTACCTACTTTGCTAGCACTCATTGGGTACCACCTTTACGCCAAAGCTAAATCTCCTGCTGTGTCCAAGAAGAAACTGAAAGAGGAGAAAAGGAATAAAGCCAAAAAGAAATAAATGATTTTAACTTTCTAAGACCACTTGATCAGGCCTTTTACTATAAGATTTGTGTGTACCCATTTACTTACTCCTCAAACAGTCCTTTAAAATGTACGTGTCAGAGGTACATCATGTATGAAAGTGCATTTAATATGATTTATATATTGTGCTGATAGAATTGTTGGAAAATGTATAGATTTTAAATTAATCTTAAATATAAATAAAGTCTTTCCCCTCCCCTGTTAAGATTTGGCACACAGGTCATGCCACAAATTAATCACAGGAGAGCAGAAATGTCCGACAGGGCGTTCTTCTGCTTTGCTTCTTTGTAACTACAGTACATGTGTTGTAGTTGCTGTGATTTTTCTCTGGCAAGTGCCTCACCTATTTTGCCAAAACAATAGAGGAGCGTAGAGATAAATATGACTTTGCTCAGTTACCAGTTGGCTTCCATTGAAGCCAAGGTATTTAGTTTTTGACAATCTTTATTTAAAGAAGTTTTTTTCACAAAATACAAAGATGCCACATGAAATGTCAAATAACAGAAAAATCAATAATGAGATAAAAATTAACAAAACAAATAGAAAATGCTTATACAATACACTTACACTGCATAAAGAAAGCAAATAACATCACATGGCAGACTTCTATCAGACACTAAATAGGGGTAACTTGTTGGGAAAATTGTGCGTTTACCCAATGAGCATGACATTCAATGTAACTCTGGATAGAAAATTTGAAGGTGCCACAGTGAATTAAACACAAAGGACAATAACAGCTCAGGTAGGGAGAGAAGAAAGTATAGAACTGCTAAAAGAAAGGAGGAGCCAAAGAAAAAGAGGGGAGGAAAGAGCAAGGGGGAAAATAAAGATTAAAAAAGGAATGGTGGGAAAAGGGAAGCAAGACCTGAATGTCCAGTCTGGAGAGAGCATCTGTAGTTGGCAGGAGCCACACAGGAATTTGGATCAACAGGTTTAGGGTGTTGGGAAGTGTAATGAAACCATGAGTGCCGGTTGGCAAAGTACTTGTTTGTCTGCCCTGGTACAGAGTAAAAGGAGTTTCTTTATGCTATAGGTGTCACGTATTCATCCCCTTTTAAAAATGTGGTTAATGACATTTACTGTCCACACAGGAAAAGTTGTGCCGAGCAGCAACCTAATCCACAGAAGGGTTAATGCTGAGCAGCAATTATGCAAATGAGAAATTGGTAACTGCTTTGGGGTCAAAGGCCGGTTACAGCCTATCAGATCTAAAGGAGGGGTATTTAGGCCCAGTTCTCATCCTGCTCAGTGCCCTGTCGTGGTTTCCCTTGTGGTTGTCAGAGAGCGCGTTATTGATTCTGGTAATTCTGGTTATTTGACTTTGGCAATGTTTTTGACTTCCCTGTTTTCTGGCATCCCTGACTCCTGACTTTTCTTTATCGTTGTGTCTCTTTCTGTTTCCCTTGACCTCGGCTATTCCTGACTATTCTTTGGTACGTTAGTCCGGCCATTCTAAGGTCCGGTATACGTTACCTATCAGTCCTCTGTGTTATACAATTCTACGTGCTGGATCATTCTGTAATCCTGACAATAGGTCTGCTCCACTCGGAAAATCCACTGTGTGATTCTCCTTCCTTCTGTTTCCCTTTTCCCTGCCTCTCTTTTAATGAGTTGGTAAAAGCCTAGTTTTTTCCTTTTCTTTCTTTCCTCCCCTTTTATATCTTTTTGACAATCTGAATTTATAAGTATTTTTTGGTGAGCACAGCAGTTGTAGGATACAAAGGGTTTACAGGCATGAAAGAACAAACATAATGTGAAGTTATTGTTCAGAGCTAAATTACAGGATTGATATGGGAGGTCTTCTGGCTTCGTGTCAGTTGTGACCGTGGCACGCAGTCGCACTTGGTAACATGTGTGGGGTTATGTGTGCCCAACTAGAGGAGTTGCGAGAAGTCAATATATCTGTTTCTCAGATGTCAGGCTGTTGGGGGAGAGGGCTATCCTGGTAATTCTCTCTACCCTCAGACGATAAGTCCCTTGTATGTGTTAAGACCCCAACCACTAGGGATGTGTATGGACAAAAAATTTGGTTCAGTTTGGAAATTCGGGTAAGTAAAAAAAATGTGTCTGCTTAGGCAATTCGTACCAATGGCATTCAGTTTGGTTCTGCACTTCCGAAATTCGGTAATTTGGAACTTCTGCTATTTGGACATTCATAAGCATCCCTCTCTTGTTTTGCCACTTTTCAGAAATCCAAAGCACGTTGCCACTACAACCACTTACTCATCTGTAGGGCTCCCTAATCCTAACCACCACAACCACTTACACATCTTTAGGGCTCCCAGTGCCAGGAATTCGCTTATTGGTCGTGATTCCTGTCATCATTCACATAATTTTCCCTCCCTCTCTTGTTTTGCCACTTTTCAGAAATCCAAAACACTTTGAAAATTCTGGACTTCTGCAATTCAAACGTCGGACATTCGTAAGCATCTGAATGTCCGAATTGCACAAAATTCGTCCAAATGTATATTCGAAACGAATTGCACGTCTACCAACCACCATCCCTCCACCTTTCTGGTATTGTAATACCTTTGACATTGGCATACCCCGTAACCAAATTTCACCATCCTCAACTCACCAATCTCGCAGAAACCTCCACTGCCTTGACCTCCAGTAATTCTCCACCAAACTCCAAACTCTCCTTTTATCCATCTCAAATCTCACTTGCCCTAACTCTGCAACCTCATTCTACAACTCCACTCTCTCCTTTCAACTATACATCATGGCACCTCCTAAATTTAAGCACAGAAAGCGCTCCCAATTTCAACCCTAGCACACCAAACTGATCCGATACCTCCAAAAATGTTACAGAACTGCTGAATACTGCTGGAGAAAGTCTCACTCTGCATCTGACTTCCTCCGCTATAAATTTATGCTGCGCTCCTACAGTTTGGCTCTTTCCTTTGGAAAAGTAAACTACTTCAACACTTTCATAAGCTCACTGTCCCACCAACCCAAATGCCTAGTTCACACTTTTAATGCACTTCTTTGCCCTGTTGCTCCCCCTTCTCCTACCACCTTATCCACCACACACTTTGCAACTCACTTCACTGAGAAGATATTTCCAATCTGGGAATAGATCTCTAATAACTCTCCCACCCCTACCAATACTTCCCCCAACCCCACTCCCTCTGTTCTATGCACATTCGCACCCGCTACAGCACAAGAGGTTTCTGCTCTGTTCCAGTCCTCCCGTCCCACCACCTGTTCCCTCGATCCTATTCCCTCATATCTCATCCGCACTCTGTCTCCCTCTTTTGCTCTCCCTCTCACTAAAATTTTCAATCTCTCCCTTTCTCTCCCCTCTGGCACATTTCCTTCACCCTTCAAACATGCAACCATAAACCTGATTCGGAGAAGGCCCAACCTTGACCCCTACTCCCCGTCCAACTACCACCCTATCTCGCAACTGCCATTTACTTCCAAGATCCTTGAGAGAGTTATGTATGCGAGATTGACAGACTTCTTTGAATCCAACTCTCTGCTTGACCCACTTCAGTCTCGATTCCACACGCATCACGCTGTCGAAACGGCTGTGACCAAAGTATCCAATGATTTCATCACTGCTCAATCTCGCAGCCATTACTCTGTCCGAAGTCTCTTTGATCTTTCTGCTGCCTTTGACACTTGATCATCAACAGCTTCTTCTCATTCCTCGTAATCTCGGTCTACGGGTGTGACAAACTACCTTTTCCCCAAGTGAGTTTGCCACGAGTTCCTGGAGGAGCCTGCTTGTCAGCCTCCTGCCCACCGACTATGGACCCTGTAGAATGTGATGTAAAATTCTCCGTTCATGTATTTGGACTGTATGGTTCGGGAACTGAACAGCTGCACGAACTGGAGACCACCCTGGAGCTTGTTAAGCCTAATTGATACTTTGTAGCAATTTCCACCACAGCGTTCGTCTGGGTGGCCGCCATTTCTATGGACGACCATGAGGTGGCAGCCATCTTGTTCACATGAACACAGGCAGCGGTGTTTGGTCGTTGAGTTCATGGAACTATTTTCGGACACTGAAACTCCCGAACACCCCTGGACTTCCATAATCACCTGCGTTCGGTTCTAGGCAATCTGCCTTTTGCTCTCTCCTGGTGCTCCTCCTACCTCTTCCAGCGCTCTTTTAGTGTTTCTTTCTCTGGCTCTGCCTCTTCTCCCCAACCTCTCTCTACTGGCATTCCCCAAGGCTTTGTTGTGGTCCCCTACTGTTCTCTATCTATACTACCTCCCTCGGTAACTCATTAGCTCCTCTGGCTTCCATTATCATTAATATGCGGATGACACACAAATATATCTGTCCTCTCCTGATCTCTCTCCACCTATCTTGACTTGTGTCTCTGACTGACTTTCTGCAATTTCCAACTAGATGGCTGCTTACTTCCTTAAACTCAACCTGTCCAAAACAGAACTTCTGGTTTTTCCTTCCTCAAATAATGCTACTCCCGTGTCGGTCTCCCTCCAAGTCAATGGCGCTACCATCACCTTTATCTTGCAGGCCTGCCTATGTGTTCTATTTGACTCCGACCTCTCCTTCACTCCTCATGTCCAGTCAATCGCAAAATCCTGCCACTTTCATCTAAAAAACATAGCTCTCATCCATCCCTATTTAACGCTGGACATGGCTAAGGTGCTGTTCCATGCCATTTTTCTCTCTTGCCTTGACTACTGCAAACCCTTTCTCTGTGTTCTTACATGTTCCCAGCTTTCACCATTGCAATCTATATTGAATGCGGCGGCAAAGCTCATCTTCCTGTCCACCCACACCTCCCATGCCTCTCTCGTCTGTCACTCCCTATATTGGCATCCAGTAAGATATAGAGTTTAATTTAAAATTCTGGTGCTTGCGTACAAGTCTCTACATAATACTGCTCCAACCTACCTATCCACCCAAATACACAAGTATGTCCCATCTAGGCCCCTGCGCTCTACTGAAGGCCTACATCTATCCTGTGTCTGTACTCCCACCTCTGATGCTCGCTTTCAACACTTCTCCAGGGCTTTTCTGTGGATCTCCCCTGCCTTCTATGTTAGACTTTCACCCAGTCTCCATTCTTTCAAAAAATCATTGAGAACTCACTTCTTCATGAAAGTGTATCAATTAAACTAATAGCTTTTCATCCCCGCACCCTTACTCCTCTCTTGCATATGTCAAAAATAACCTACTAAGCCCTTAGTGAAAACTTTTCTAGCAACCTATTTCGTTACCCCTACTTTTATCCTTTGTGTCACTATACTCCACTCCCTCTAGCATGTAAGCTCATTGAGCAGGTCGAAGAAAGCTCTCACAAGTTGGGGACCGATCGGGCTGCTGCGTACAGTTCTCAGAGTGAGGTCTGAGACGTTTGCTAACCTCACCGACAAGCCGACAGCCAGAGGAAACTTTTGTGACACAAAGTATCCACATCCATCCTGGCCGGTCCCAGATACAAATTACAAACAAGGACTACAATTGTGCTGGTAATAGTCTTGCTTTTCATTCCTGGCTTATATTTTTGTATTTTAATCAGTTTATTCATTTATTATATTTTTTTAATTACTCTTTGAGTATTTCTTATTAATAAATTTGACTTATTATTTATCTTTTTACGTGGTTATTTTTAAAGCGATATTACATTTTATTGCAATATAGGATCAGTCTTCAATACTGTATTCCTATTTTATGGTTTATACCTTTCCTAAAAGTACACTATTTTGGTGCATGCTCTATTTTGTCAATTTTTTAATAGACTTAAAGGCACAGACACCATATATGGTTATATTGCACAGAGAAATCTATGTGAATCATTTTTTTCATCTTATCTCTCATTAGTAGAGAGAACAGTTCTATATACTGTTTCTCAATTTCCCTTTAGTTGTTATATGTGAAGTATATTTGGTGTTTATTCCATTCATTCTGCCTATAGCAGATTTAAAGGCGTATACACCACACATTACTGTTGCACTTTTTTCCAGTCCCTTTTAGAAAGTATTGGAGTTTATCTGAGTAAATGTCTACACCACCACATTTTAGGTGTATATTTACACATATTTTAATACATTTTGATTTATATAGCAGGCACAAGAACATCCAAAGCCATTTTAGGTGGATCAGCTCCTGGAATATCTATATCAACTAAGGTTGTTATATCATCTTTCATTACAAATTTTCCAAGACAGGTCTTTGGTGAACTCCTGTGTCTATCCAATTTTGAGCAATCCATCCAAGTCCGATTCCCTCACACCTGTGTGTTGCATTAGGCATACCAGTCAATTCTATTAACCTTTTGTTTGTGCTGTGTGTAAAGTTTTGAAGTCCGTTAGTGCTGCCTCTATTTTTTTTAAGGTAAAATTAATGTTGGAGAAGTCTGCATGTATTATGAGTGGGTGTGGTGGATGCTTTGTGGAGTTTCATGAGTGTATATGTGGGCTGTGCGTGTGGTGTTGTGTATGTATGTGGGCTGTTAGTATTGTCTGCAGGGCTGGATTTCCTATTAGGCAGAGAAGGCACCTGATATGGGTGCATGTCCTGTAGTGGTGTCTCTTTCAACTTTTTTAACGTGCCTTTTCGGAGCTGGTGGTAAGAGATAAGTAGCAGGAGCCTTGATCAGTGTCCTCAGAATTCCAGTCAGCCTCCTATGCTTGATAACAGAGCTGCAAGAACATTTATCCTGTCTCAGCTTTTCCAGTGTCTATGTGTGAGACTAGACTAATAGCCTTTCACACAGGAAATGCCCTGCACGTGGAGCAGAGTCAGCATTGAGTGATGTACAGTTTATAACAGTTCCTTCTATCACAGAAGGTGGACTGGGCTACGGAAGATATAGGACGTGGAGTATTTTGAAAATGGCCCTTCAAACTTAACCTAGACCTAAATTTAACCACTCTCAAAACCTAAACAAATACTTTCCTCGTTCCTAAAACTGAGCACTCAAAGCCTGAACCTGAATAAAGTAAAACTCTTTATCTTAATCCTAGGTTTAGCTCCTCTTAAAAATGAAACCAAATACTAAATTGAAAATCACTCAATGATCCTAAACTCGTTTTATACTAGCTATAAACCCTGTCAAGCTTTTAATCCACTTAATACTAAATACCCTAACTCTGATGTTAACCCTTCTCAAACCTTAAACCCTGTTTACCCCAGCTACTTCTAACTATCTTTAAAGAAACACAAAAAAAACCTAGAGCACTTGATGAAGTGCTTTATGTGTGAATTGTGGTCCTCTTTTTCATTTAACAAAAATGTCCATATTTTAATAGAAATTTACACTTTTATAAATTAGCCTTACTACATCCCAAGGCTATTGATCAAATAACCTGTCCTGCTACTTCCTGGTAGTTCAGCTCAGTGGAGTTTAACTTAAGAGGGAGCAATTGCCTAGAGAACCTACCTTACAAAAAGACTTGTCAGTGAGCTGCACTTGAAAGTCTGTTGTTGGACAGCCACAGAAAATTTAGACTGGGAAAGAAGGTGAGGGCTTGCAAAGGCTGCAGACAAGAGATCTGCAGACAAAGCTGCAGACAAGCTGGTTTTAGAAATAATTCCAATAATTAAATGCATGCATGTTTTATTTGGAGTATATGTACGAAACAGTGTTGTTTTTTTTTTGTTTTTTAATGTCTTCTCCAATCTCAAAATTATTCAATCCCCTGAATAGAATCCCTCACTACATCACAAATATGCAAAACAGGTGTTGTCTCAAGCACACCTGATGCAGTTAATCAAGGGCATCGTCAATTGCACCAGGTGTGCTTGAGCTGGAACATTTGAAATGCCTGTCATGGCTAGGGGGTTGTGGAGTGTCACGTTGGACTGAATGTTAGAAATATGGCAAATAAGTCAAAAGAATTGTCAACAAAGTTAAGAGAAGTGATCATTGCCCTTCACAAACAAGGAACAGGATACAAAAAGATAGCGCACGCATTGAATGTTCCTAGAGACACCATTGGAAGCATAATTTGCAAGTTCAAAGTTGGAGGAACAGTTGTTACACTACCTGGACAGGGCCGAACAAGGAAGTTATTAATGGCTCCAACCAGATTTCTGAGAAAGCAGGTTGTGAAAAACCCTTGTGTGACTACAAAAGATTTGCAGCAAGACTTGGTGGCAAAAGGTACTGAGGTTTCAGTGAGCACAGTAAGGCGCGTACTAAATGCAGAAAGTTTCCATGCCAGAACTCCAAGACGTACACCACTACTGACCAAAAAGCACAAGAAAAGTCAGCTCCAATATGCTCAAAATCATACAAATAAGCCACAGAGGTTTTGAGATTCTGTTCTGTGGAGCCATGATACAAAACTGGAACTTTTTGGCCCAATGAATCAGCAGTTTGGATGTAGAAGAATGAAGCATAAGCTAAAAAGAACACTCTGACTACAAAGCTTGGGTGTCATTGGGCATTCCAACAAACAATGATCCCAAGCATACCTCAAATTCCATCAAGGCTTGGTTGCAGAAGAAGTCTTGGAAAAGTCTACAGTAAGTATCACACTCACCTGACTTGAACCCTATAGAAAATCTCTGATGGGATTTGAAGAAGGCAGTTGCAGCACGCAAACCCAAGAATATTACTGAACTAGAGGCCACTGCTCATGAGAAATGGGCTAAGATTCCCAGGAACGCTACCAGAAGCTGGTGTCTGGCCGTGCATCCCGTTTACAGCAGGTCATAACAGCAAAAGGGTGCTCTACTGAGAACTAAGAATAATTTTGAGACTTGCATTTTAAGTTGAATTTGGGGAATTCACTTAAAGCATTCATTGCGTTAAGCTATTTCAGTTGAAAGTCTGGTCTGTAAATTTTGACAATAAACCTAATTTTCAATGGGGATTGAATAATTTTAATTACAAATGTATATAATAATCCTGGGAGTTATAGTAGAATTAAAGCCAGTTGTTACAACTGGTAAAAGGGCTTTTTTTTTTTTTTTTAACAATGAAATAACTTTGTAAAGACCTAAGTGATGATTTTAATTGAATTGAGCTCAACCTCCCCCCAGCTATGACAGTACAAATACAACTTTATTTAGAACCTATGGTGAACAATAGCATGGTCTCAATGTTACTGCAAACACAGTATGTATTTATCTAAAGCCCAAGACACATAACTCCTCCTGTAGACAGAAGAGACATAGAGAAGTAACATGTTAAATACATCAAGTTGATTAAAACAAATGACAGCTCATAGTGTATGGCTGACTACATGAGCTGCTTCAATAACGTTATGTACTGGGCGTCGAACTCTTGTTTCTGTTACAGGAATCTGTGGAGGAATCTTGTGCTGCAGGCTAATGCGGTTGTTGAGAATAAGTAGCGGGTTCTCTTGACTTAAGACCTCTTCACTCACAGAGATGCCATCCAAATACTGTTTTAGCATGATACGCAGATTCTGGTTATCCTGGGTCAGTAGAGTTTTTTCACGTTCCAGTGCACATTGTTCAAGCAAAACCTTATTGTAGCGTTTCCAAAACTGGTCGAGCGCAATATAGTCTTGCATTAGCTATAAAATGTATAACAAAAAAAAATACAAAGATATTGTAAAAAATGTTAATACAAGTCAAGCTGTTAATGCTATGTTCCTTTGAGTTATCCTGTACTCATTTGATACAGTACAAAGACGCTGAGGACAAAAAAAACTCTTAATAGGGATGTAAATACATTTATAAAAATGGCAATTTTGTTCCATTATTATATATTTAAAAATTAATTATTAGTTGTACTTTGTTTTTTGTTTTGTTTTGGTTTTTTTTTATAAGATTTCAGTCTGGCATATTATGCAAATTCCAGTTGCCTTAAATGGACTCCTATAGGGAATCATGGGAAAATTATAAAAGGTGTATGCCTGTGCAGAGCATCTCAGATACATGGCTCTGATTGCCCAAAAGTGCAATGAAGATAAGTAGATTTTATATTTATACTGCAAAACACACTCTAGTAACCAATTCAGTAACATAATCTAACTCAAAGATTACAGTTCATTTTTTTTTTTGTATGTAGCTGTTATGCATCAATGATGTGTAACAGTATCTAAAGTGAAAACCTACATAAATAATAATCCTACAAGGGTGAGAGACTGATTTTCTAAACAGGTCTACATGGTGTTAAAGAATATTACCAGCGCCAACTGCTCGGAAGGCTTCGCCATGCTAACTTTCTCCACCGCTTCCATCTCTTCAGCACTAAGAGAAGATGGGTAGAATGGCAGGACTTTCTCTTCCTCGGTTTCTAGTTTGCGACACATTTCTGCCACTCGAAGAATGGATTCACCCTGGGCATGGGACAATTTGAAATATGCCTTATTAGTATACAAGTGGAATATCTTAAATATAAACATACTAAATCTACTTAGCAACATTTAATGTCCTTGGGTGACAAATGAAAATAATGGATAAACAGAAATGTCAGCCAGTTATGATTTAAATAAATTGGTTTGAAAGCTGCCATATAGTGTGTAGAAAATTGTTAACAGAAAACATACAAAATATATGACAAAGAGCATTTACTAGGAATATTTACTCATAGGAACAAAATATAATTACACTTATTTCTAAAACAATGGTAAAACAACTCCATTTTCTATGCTTCTCAATATTAGGTTATCAAATTTTACACAGGACATTTAGGAACATCATAATACTCAGATGGAAGTAAAAAAACGTGGGTATGAAAATTCACACATAAGAACTACACTAGAAATATGTTATATAGATTATACAAGATAGGCCAAAATTCAGAGTAGGATTTGACAGGTAAATAACTTATTTGTTAGTAGTTATTTTTATTATTTTTTGCAGTCGAGAGATCATCTGGCCCTACTTCTTCAAAACCGATGGTGGTGGTGCTTTGACAGTTACAGGTGTGCCTGTAGCTGTCAAAGCACAGAAATGTACATCCTGTAGTGGAAAATCGTCCTGACATTTGGTTTCAATAGGAGGGGACTACTGCCCATACAGCCAGGGCCACGATGGACCTCCGGAGACAAGTGTTCGGCGAGCGGATAATTTCAAGAAATACCCAGATTAATTTGCAGCCACGTTGGCCTGACCTTTCAGCTCCTGAGTACTGCCTTTGCTTATACCTGAGCAGCTCAAGGAAAATATTCGTACAAAAATTAGAATGCTACAGCCTGAATTTGCAAGACGGCAATAGCGCTCATTTAAAAGATGTCTTCTTCCGTACCTAGTCAAACAAATATCCATGATCTCAATGAAATTGGTTAATTAAGAAAAATGTTATTGACTCCACAAACGCTATTCTGAATTTTGGCCACCATGCACATATCGGGGAAGGTTACCTTGTTTATAATACGCTGCAGCTCTTTCAGAGTTGCATTGCTCTGCACTGTCAGAGTGGCAAGGCGACTGTGTTCTGAAGACCTTGCTTGGTTCATCTGACTTTTCAGCTTCTGGAATTGCTTGAGCATAACTTCTTTTTTCTCCCGCAAACGACGGTTTTGCTCCTCGCTTTCACGGGCATGCACTGAAATCTTATTTTTTAGGGATGCTATTGAATCCTGAAGAAAAAAAAAACATAGTTATTTTAGGTTGAAAAAAAAGATTCAAGTCAATTGACTGCAAATTTTAAACAAATCTTTTTATGCTGTTGATCTTAAATAATGCAAAAAAAAGCAGAACAATTTGGATCAATGGCCAATTAAGCCACAAAAAGAGGAGAAGTCCCTTCTTGATTCAGTAATGACAATCACATTTCTACTTGGATAAACAACCTGTTTACATGCAGATCGATTAAATCTTTGAATATTCTGTGTTTCCTAAAAGACATCCAACCTTTTTGGAAAATAAAATATATCTACATAATCTGATAAGGCGACTCTTTGGGCAGAGAATTTCACATTTTGTTCTCACTGTAAAGTACCCTCTACTCTACTGAGAGAGAAAACACCTTTCTTCCAGTTTCAATAGATGACCTCTTGTCTGTTGTACATCGCTGCTAATGAGGGTTATTAGGTAAGGCTGTACTGACCCTGTATATATTTGTATAGTGCCAACATATCCCATTTGAGATGCCTTTTTTCTCAAAAAAAATACATGCTGTTTTTCAAGCCTTGCTTCACAACTGATGGCTTATTAACTTTGTAGTTTGCCTCTGCACTTTTCCTAGCTCTGTAATATCCTCCTTTAAAACTGGTGCCCAAAATTGCACAGCATATTCAAAGTGGAGTCTCAAGAGGCAAAACTATTTTTCATATCACGTGAATTAATGGTATCACGATATTAATGTAATCTAATGAATCAACAATAAATGGTTACCTGAATTTTCTGCAGCTTTTTCATCTGCATCTCAATTTCAAGTGCACTTTTCTCATCTTTAGCTTTCAGTGCTTCGTAGGCAATCCTACGATCATCCGTAGAGTCAGTGTAGTTTTTCAATGCGAGTTGAAATTGCTTCCACAAATCCTCCACTGACCCCTCCAGCAAAAGACGAAGTGCGTGCTTCTCTTCCAAATTCTGGCCGTCAAAAACAGAAAAACACTGCCCTTTACAAAGTGTTGCATGCAATCTACAGGATTTTATTTTATTATCATTTAGCTACTAAAAATATTCCTTTACTAGAAACTGGATTTGTTAGAATACAAACATTCTAACTCCTTTAATGTGTTCTGTACATATATAAACAGATGTACAGATTACAAAGAAACATGCAAAGTTGCACAGGCTTTTATTTTTTAGGTTTATCACATTGTCTGTATGACTTACAAAATGAAAAAGAAAAAAAAAAACATGTTCAGTAAAAAGTATATGGATTTAATAGGGGATGGAAAGGAGGAGAGGTAAGCCTTAAAATCAAAAAAGGAGTAGGAAATAAGTACATAAACCATGGATACTGCCCCTGTCTACAGGGTATCATACATTACATTACGAAATATGTAAAGATGATGCCTTGTTCACATTAATAATTGAACAGGTGATCTATAGAATATCAGTTTTAATGAAGGGCCAAAGGTTTTACATTCATTTTAAAAGAGAAGTATTATTGGGGGGCTTGTCCAGGGAGCATGGCAGACATAGATTTCTAGTGCACTGCATGGCTGTAATTAATTCTGTCATATACCACAGCAACACAGCACCATTCAAGCCTGCAACTAGAGGACTCCAGGGCAAGCTAATCCGAGCTTTCAGTTCCCTGATAAATTCAGGAAACAGGAATCTAGCATTGCAGGCTAGTGATTACTTGAGGACTGGAGAATCCCCACTTCGACTTGCACTTTGCCAGCCCAACAGGCAGTTCCAGATGAAAAGGTATTCCTTTAACAGACTACCTCTGTAACTCTACTGACTACTCGTGATTCAAAAAGTGCCCACTTCCTATGCCAAGTGGCAGTTTCCATCTTTATTTTTTTATTACATTTTGCACCTCAGAATAACTCACAGCCTAACCCTACTTTAATTATTCCAGACCAACTAAGAACATGGGTAAAAGATTACGTAAACTAAAGTTCCCACAGGGTAGCAGGAACTGTAACAAAGGCACACTACTTTCTCAGTCGACAAGACCTAAGATAACTGAGCTGCTAGATGTTTCCACTTTAGCCTCAGATGATGATAGCATTATGTACTCTGATGCCAGTGCATCATCAAGAGACATCCCAGCTAAACTTCAGAAAGACAGCTTGATGACATCACAGCTACATCTCAGAATGAAATTGTGATGACTCCAGCCACAAAAGGTAACACAGCCAACTTGGTGAACATTAGGTTTACCACAGAATTAGAGGTTCTTAAAGGAAGACTCTAATGTTAGAAATACAAACATGTTTTCCTAATTTTAGAGTGTTTTCACAACTATTTAGATTATTACTAAAGATAAGAAAAGTACACTCACTTACCTTATATTCCATGCTATGCTGGTCTCACTGCAGGAGCTTTTCCACCCTGGCTAAGATTATCATTGATGAAGATCTCAGAATGGCAGTGTATATATTGTTAAAAGGGCAGGGACAAACACTACTTTATGCTGTGTCCCTTTAATGAACACCTAGGCATGCTGATAGGACACAACAAGGCTGCCAAAGAGGACATTTTATGGCTATTCAATAAGCAAGTCACATCCAGTACTCAGCTGACAAATGGGAAAAAGCCATATAATGCCATTGCATTGGACAACATGGATAATGAGGAGAAATTCAAAGAGGTATAACAAACTATGTTGATTGGGGGGAAATCTCCAATTTGTTTTAGAGATAGTTTTTTCTTTATTGTCCCATAAGCAGTTAAGGGGCTATCTCTGTGTGGACTATATTAACTTCCTATGTCGTCACAGCATTATTGATGAAGGTAGTAAGAGGTAAAACCCATCTTTAGACCATATGAAAAATAAAACAACAACATCTAAGAGAAGCTGAAATCCTGTTGAGTTCCAATGCTTCTCTAAATTCGTTAAGAAGATGCCAAAAGAGGATAAGTGACAATCATAACGATACAAGGACCGTGCTACACAAAAGTTGAAACGAATTTCTTTATTTTACTTAAACAAGGAGGGCAACAATCTAAGCAAGCAGTGGAATACACTGTTATATACAAAAAAAAAATTATAAATAGATATATCTAGTTATACTGTTAGTGTTCCTTTAATGGTCGTCATAGGAGACCAAGGTATTACCCACTAGCAAAGGAAAATGAAAATATATTGATTACTATAGAATTAAGTTTACTGGCTCAGCAATGTTGGAATGGAATCAAAAGACATTATCTATCACATTGGTAGAGAGCAACGAGAGACACCATTTAAGATAGATGACAAGTTATATAGTTGACATAAAAAAAGGAAATTGAGTGGTTGCCTAATTACTATACAGTGTTGTTTGTAGAATTGCTGAATGATGCCTTAAGGTTCAATTAACAAATTTATTGATGAAGCAAAACATGATGATAGCTTGTTGGACAGTCTCAGGCACTGACGTCAAAAAACAACAAATACACACAGACACACTGCTTCCCAAGGTTATTTCCCAGCTGATAACCATATAACAAGACTGTATAATTGATAGGATATTTTGGGATTCTGCTAGTGTACCTACAATAGAGGACAAAACAGTGCAAATATTGCTAAACACTATAAAACATCTGATGATTAATATGATTAATATGCACTCACATATTCCAAAAAGTTAAGCGTATTATGGGTGCCTCCCCTCGATGTAAATGGGGGGTTGTTTTCCTTTAATTATCCCTACTCAAGTGATAGCCAGTGGGATATCCAGGTCAGCAAGGAGATCCACAAACTGCAGCCAAAGGAATACTTCAAAGGCGATTTATTCACTTATAAAATCAGGAGGTATACAAATAAAAATTCATAAAAACAAAATAAGAAAGAAAATAAGAAATGCTGGTCCTACGCATTTCGTCCTTATAAAAAAGGACTTCCTCAGGGACCTCTTTCAATAAAAATCAATCAACAAGTACAGAAATAAACAGCATATTGTAGGTACACTAGCAGTATCCCCAAATATCCTATCAATTATACCGATGTCAAAAGAAAGGGGTGGAGCCTGGGCCTGGCAGCAGGAATTTTCAAACTAGTCCCCAATAATAGTCAATTGGATCAGAATTGGATAAACTCAAAATTCTGTGATTTCTGAAGAGCGGTATGAGAATCACTTATAAAACAACATTTCCAAAGTGGAAATTATAGAAATTCTCAAGTTCATATATTAATTTTTTTAAAGGCGATTGTTCTATTAATCAGTTAATGTTGGCATACCTTATTTTTTATTTCATCCCTCATATTCTGAAACTCCATTTTAGATTCACTCTCAGCCTCTGTGATATTTTGTTCCATGGCCAGAATAACATTCTGAAGATATGAAGCTTCAGTTTCCATGTGCTCAATTATCATCTTCCTGCAAGAATGCAAACATAGTCCTCGATTTAGTATTGCACGAGAAGCTTTCCAAATGAAAATATTAAATAAATAAAATATTTTTCATAATATGAAATCGTTATAGAAGTTTAATTTATTTTTTGTTTTGTAATATTTTATACTTTCTGATATATTTTTATTTGTGATATATTTTTGATATCTTAATATGTTGGAAAAATTATTTTAAACGTTAATCCAAAAATATGAAATCTGTTGGAAAGCTTATCCAACAATATTAAATCAAGGTCATGGACCTCATATGCAGGCTTGGGCTGAGAACAACCACATGCAGAAATTATACAGTAGAGCACGACTTCTAATACCAACAAAACTGAAAATCACTCATAGTTTTTCAACAATGAATATGAAACCGACATTAGCTGACTTAACAACAAACAGAGGTGAGGGCGCTATTCAAAGCTTACAGCCTAAAAAGCATAATTTCACAATAGCTGAAGATAAGGTACATATAACACAAGTGGTTCTTTCATCTTTGGGTGTACTTGTATATTTTGCAATTGGTTGCAAATTGTTGATTTTGTAATCGTTGGTGACATCACTCCTTGGCTATGGTGACCCGTGGGTGCAGGAGAAGTAAGTTATTTTTATATGGAGCAATGGAGCTGTTCCCTTGGGGCACCTGCATCTTCTTTCTTCAGCTCCTAGAGTTCCATCCCCTAGTGCCCCCAAATCCTTACTCAACATTGGGACCCCAAATAATATGTCTTTTAAATTGCTTATTCAACATGCTTAAGGCAAAGGTGAAAGAGGTTTTACTCTCTCGGGTTGATTGTTGGGTCCATTGGATGCTAGACATGTTTGATTTCATTTAATGTTTGTGTTATTTTTCCCTTTCAGCACCACAAAGTGCTGTGCTAGTGAATTGGTTTATTGTACGTCTTACTTGCATGCCTAGGAAGGCTACAGAAAAAAGCCTGGCGGGTGATGAATGCCTAGCTGGAACTTAGAGCTGGTTCCACTGGGCATAGGATTTACATCAGAAAATTATTTAGTTTTTTTTTTACATCAGATAACTGAACTACCATCTAGTAAATAGGAGACAGAGTTATGATTTATGTGGTTTACTATAGAGTAGCTTTGCTGCTAACAAAGCATAGATATGCCAGTGAGTAAATGTAATCTGGCATAAAAATACTAGACTAATTTTAATAAACTAACCCAAGTTTGAGTACAAAGCGTTCTCTTTATATTATATTAAAAGACCACAATCATTTGGCTTTTAATTCAAAAAGTGATTGCTTCCTCATCTTACAGAAACTGAAAACATCCCATTATAATACACAAACCTCTCTGTCTCAAATTCTTTCTGCACAGCATCCAGCTCTTGCTGATATTCCTCTTTCAGGAGGGCAATGCGCTCTCGCTGCAGTTCCAGCAGTTGGTCGATGTTCTGTAGATGGCTGCGCAGTGCATGAGTGTACTGCTCTTCTGACTCTTCTACATCCTTCGCTAAAGACTAAAAAGAATGCTATGGTTACATGCACGCTTTATGATTGTAATATATGTTCTGTAGACAATGTTAATGACAATTATAGCTATCAGCCTTTATAGATAGGTGATCACAACATTTATACACGCTCATGTCCAGGCATATGCATAAAGGATGATGTGTAAGAACAAGTACTCTTATAAGAAGTAGTAAACAAAGCCTTGCAAATTAGTTAACAAAGAAGATCGCTTCCACAAATCCTGCTTAGCCTAAAGTATGTAAGCCTCATACAATACTAAACATTTTTTTTATTTTCCGAAGACAATCAGTTTATCAGTATCAGCAATCAGTTTATTTGCAGGACAGAATTGTTTTCATGGATCATGAAATACATTATATTATTTGTGTTTAGTGGCCTTACTGCAACTTAAAGGTAAAGATATGATTGACTCCTGGCATAGTTGGTAAATAAAGAACTTAGAATTACCTTGATGACACTGTCCTTGCAATCCACAACACGTTCAAAGGTCTGACTGAGTATTTCAATATCCTTTTGCAGCTCCTTGGTCTTTACCTCCCTTAGGACAGAGCGCCACTGCACGTTCAGCTTGTTCAAGTTAATAATGCTGCAACTCTCCTCTTTAGAAAGCTTATCCTGTATTAAGACATGGTGCTGCTGATTAACATTTATACAGCACATTTTACATCAAAAGTGTATTTGAAGGAACAGCTTCATGGGAAAGTTTACATTATGTACTGCTGTATTGCTGTAGTCCTAGTAGGCAGATAAAGACTCCCGATGTTTGACATCACGTAACATGTTGCACTTATTACATGGGATATGTAGTGTTAACATTATTAATAATAACAAACAATGATTAAACATTTATTTGTGATTTAATGCAAATTTTGTTACTATAGTAGAGATGTCAAGTCACCTGCTGTACAGGCCCAGACTGTCTCTCAAGCTGCTCCATGAACTGATGCTGTGTGTCTTCCTGGCATCATTACTGACACAGAACGCTGCCCTTCTAAGGCCCTCTAGCATCACTAACAACCATCCTTTAACAAGCACCCGCGCTACCTCATTATCAGTGCACAGCACACACACACGCACACACTGGAATGGTAATGGCCAACAGTTATAGGTCACAGACTATAAACACTTATTAAACTGTCATTTAGTGTTGTACTATATTCTGTATTTGTGTTATTAGACCTGACTTTGGCTCAATACTTTTCTGTTTTTAGTAACCTTTAACACAGCTTGTTCTCTTGTTTATCAGATATCTTTACTACTAGAACTCCTTGGCCATTCTACCTGCTACCAGTTTTTACCATTACACCTTTCTATAAACATCATGCTAAGGGTGTGCTGCTTTCCTTACAATTATATAGGATTTATCTAGGACACAACCACTGTGTGTTGAGTATCTCAGGTCACCTTGACAGCAGCATTTATAAAATTCACAGATATAGCATTTTACTACCTAGAGTCCAGATCTTCATGTTAGATGTAAATTGGCAAAGTTACCTTTGATGTCCAATCATCTATTTCTAAGCAGAGACATAACATCCACCCTAATTACACATATTTCTATGTTACCTGAATAGAAACCTTATTGACAGGTAAATTAAAATGCATGTATCCAGTTGCCACTGTGTGTTAAAGGGACACTATAGTCACCAGAACAACTACAGCTTAATGTAGCTGTTCTGGTGTCTATAGTCAGTCCCTGCATGCCTTTTGAAGTAAACACTATATTTTCAGAGAAAAGGAAGCACAGACATCCTAGAAAGTCAATGTAACTGACCGGATCTCACAGTGTAGTGATTCTAAGCTTAATAGTTTACATTTTTTTTAAACTACAAATCTATTTAAAGGGTTACTCCAAGCAAGATGACTACTTCAGTGATTTTAAATGGCCATGGTGCCTGGAGTCTGTATGTGCAGGGTTCTGCTGTGAAACATTGCACATACCAAATCTAACCTCTATGCTGCCGGGCTGGCTAATGTCAGTTCTGTGCAAATATGCACAGACACCCATTCATTGGCTGAGAGAGGTCAGCTGACGTTCTTAGCCAATGAATGAGCGGAAGCATCAACACCCGGCTTCTGCAACTCTACAGAAGCTGAATGTCATAACACTGCATACTCTGGAGACCAGGAACAAGTAAAATGGCAAACTGTTGTAAAACAGTTTGCCCCATTACTGCAGAACGGTGCCAGGGTACATCTACAATCCCATGAAGCAATTTTGGTGCTTAGACTTTTCCTTTAACTGTAATAGACAGACACAAAATGATCTTGAGTACAATTCCGAGAAGTAATCACACTCCTATTTTTGCTCCATATCTCTGTGTGGTGTCATGTTTCTGACTGCTATCAACAGCCTTGCCTTTAGAAATTGCATTAACATGTCCTCTTTCTTCTTGTTTTGCTCCTCCTCTGCTAGCATCTTCTGCTGCATGTAAATCAGCCGCTCTTCTTCACTCATGCGGCTCAGCTTACCAGACTTCTTCTTACCTTTCTTAGGCATGGTTGTGATATCTGAAAGAAATTGGAAGATCGACTCTTGGGATTTACATGTTAACAAAAGTGTTTACCAACATTTTGAGATACTGTTTTATTTCTTTTTTACTTTGTTACTGTTTTTATTATATTTTATATAATTAAAGTACTTTTTTATTGGACCTGTTTCTGCTGCTGCTGCTGGATCCTTGGGCTACATATCCTTGGTGGGAATAATACCCCCTAAGCGTATTGGATTGAGCAAACTGTACTTTGCTCTAAAGCATGTAAGTAGGTTTTTATCTTTTTATTGTACCTTGCACTCCATAATAACGGTGTACGCTATTGTGGCTTTTATTTTGTTCCTTTCTATATACATACCTACAGAGATACTGACTACACCTATATCCTTGAGTGGGGATTATATCACTTCACAGGCTATTTGTGGAGCCAATTTTAGGGCTCCACTACATGTGACTGAACATTTTATATTTATACCTAACCCTGCTACTAAGCTCAATATACTGCACTATACTACGATTTTTATCTGTTTTATTTTTACGAGGACACCTTCTTCAACCACGAGCACATGAAGAATCTGCACTGCACTATATCCTTAGGCGGGGATCATACAGCCACGGCGCATAAGTTGGAGCTGCATTGAAGCTCCAAAAAGGTGTGAGTGCACATTTTTATCTTATTTATACCAACACCAGTTTTAATATACTACACTATCAGTTTTTCCTGTTCTTTTTCCTTGTCGTTGCATATATCCAAATAAGAACTATTTAGGAGCTGCACCTCCCCTGTATTTTTTTCCTATTTTTTTTGTAAACATTTTTAAATTATTTTTAAGTTTTGTTAATCCGAACAGTGAGAAAGCAAACGTTCTGGGACTTGCAGGTCCCTGTCAGGTATGATAATCCTGAAAACCTTTTCTCAGGTAAGAACAAGCAAAAAAACTGGAGACACACAGTTCTCCTCAGCAGAAATAGTAACAATCAAGGAACTCGCAAGTCCCTGAACAAAGGATGGAGAAGAAATTTAAAAAATAAAATTTCACCAGTCCACCACCTATGTTCGGACACACACTGTGTGGGACTCTTGGGTCTCAGACTGCACGCACCTCTATTTTATCAGCATGTGTGTATGACTTTGAACTGACAGTGTCTGAAGAGTTTTGGTTACCTTTTCGAACATATCCTGTTAAAGCAACATTGTCACCTCCCCTAAAAATGATAAATATATAATCTTTTTGAAATACTCATTTTGACTGTGTTGTAAACTGCCCAGTTTGGCAGAAAAAGTTAAAATAACTTAATTAGGAGTTACTATAGACTTTCACTAGCGAATGCAGTAATAACTTATGATGGAAAACCACTAATACATGTTGAAAACAAGGTATATAGAGAATGTTTCCAATTAGAACATCTAGTTATTGTACAGTTGCACCAAACCTCTGTCAATCTCAACGTGAAATGGGGCATCTCTACAATACACTTATTCATGTCTGCTTCTCACATCAGGCACAGCACAAGCTTCAATTCTCCATGTATTTAAAATGAGAATGGATTCTCATGCTTGATCATTATCAAGCTTAATAGCCCATTCTTCAGTTTAAAAATTATCTGTGACCCATTATTCCATTGTAATGTAGTATATATAAAAAAATTAACTCTGCAAACCAACTTCATGATATCTTTACATGGCTTCCACTGGCCTGAGAATGGCAATGTCACTGCAAAAAAAATTAAGTACTGAAGAAGTTGCCTGAGTTTCTATAAACTTTTTGTCCCTGTGCTATCCAGTAAAATGACATGAAGTCACAATTTTGGGTCCCAGCCCATTAAAAACCACTGCTCCGGATATTAATAAGCAACATTGTATTTTACATGGCTGTCAGGGGAATCTCAATGTATTTTCCTGATAAAACTGTTTATAAATATATCAATAAATTATTGACTTCAATGAATAATAAAGTAATAAGCTCACCGCAGTGATTCACAATATATATATATTTTTCTTGGTGCCTTATCTCCTAGTACCAGGCTGTAGTATGGGACTGAAGTCATACTGCAACACCATTGGCATTTACCAGCCACCTCCAGTGTCTACATCTCATTAACCTGGGGTGGCTGTGTGCTTTGCAGTAAAGGCAGACTGGGCATTATGGGTAATGTAGTCTCTATGCAGTGCAGGGTCACAGGGTTATTTAGCAGATAAAGCACTGACACTGATATCCTACATTAGTTTATATATTCACAGGTGACATTACTCTCTCTGGAGCCTGATGCCTGCTTGCAGTTATTTTGCCCCCACACCAGCTGAGGCTTTGTGTCCTATACAATGGGTTAAAAGTGCAGAGCTGTGCCCCCCAGTGCCCCCCACCCTGTGCCCCTTTCATTACCTGTTATCTGAACACGTCAGTGCACAGTTGTGTTCTGTTGCCTAGCAACTGTCCAAGGCCGCCTACAGAGGGGGGAGGGGGAGTGGCCAGGTAGACTGGCATCGCATGACATGCGTCACTCCAGGAGCTGTGACTGTGGGCGGGGCGCTCCGCTTTGTACGGCAGGCGGGAAGGGACAAGACGTGTAGGTATGCGCTCACACTGCACAGTGTTCCTAGCTGACTGGTCAGCAGGGTCTCTGTTATCTTATGTTCGGTACCGTTATTTGGAGCTCGTGTACAATGTGAAGTTTCAAATCCTACTTTGTCAAAAAAATAATAATATAAAAATCCTTCCAGATGTAGGATTATAAATCCCATTCCTATGGAGCTTTAGTGCTTATGGGGGATGCTTTTCGACCACCCCAGGCCTAGTTGTAAATTCACCTCTGCGTTAAAGGACCATTATAGGCACCCAGACCACTTCAGCTTAATGAGGTGGTCTGGGTGCCAGGTCCCTCTAGGATTAACCCTTTTTTTTTATAAACATAGTTTCAGAGAAACTGCTATGTTTATAAATGGGTTAATCCAGCCTCTAAAGCCTCTAGTGGCTGTCTCATTGACAGCCGCTAGAGGCGTTTGCGTGCTTCTCACTGTGAAAATCACAGTGAGAAGATGCCAGCGTCGCTTTCCTATGAGACTGACTGACTGCGTGTGCGCATTCAGCCGAAGAGGAGGAGGAGAGCTCCCCGCCCAGCGCTGGAAAAAAGGTAAGTTTTAACCCTTTTCTCTCCATCCAGCCCGACGAGTATGTTTTCCTGGCACTATAGTGGTCCTTTAACCAGTGACTAGGAGGGAGTCATTTCTTTGACACGTAGAAAATTTAAATCGTATTAATAATAAAAAGCATAATATATTTATATATAAACCTGCCTGAAGAAATTCAAAACTATGCATTGTGCTGAAATGAAATATATTTGCTTTAGTCACCTAGAATATTCACCTGTCAAAAAATATTTATTTGCAGAACATTCCTGACCGAGGGCCTCAGATGCTAGAAAGTCCACGTAAAGTGCTGCCTGAATGCGGGTGCACTGGAAATCCAAGGATATAAATGATTTGTCTTGCATGGTAGCTTGTTAAAAAGAATATTATAATGATATGCCACATTTATGGCGCACACCCCGAAGCTATAATGGTACTGGATTTGTGGTGGCAAATATTTACATGACAACATGGTAAAGACACATAAAGTCATAGGAGTGCTGCACACAAGTTTACATGGGAGCTCTGTGGAAGGGGGTCCGCAATCCGCAGGCGTCACAACATAGGGTGAAGGCAAAAAATATTTATTGGAGATCAAAAAGGTAAAAAAAAAAAAGATACAGAGGGTGTGGTCTGGACGCCGATGGTAATAGTAATTGAATTTGAGAGAGCACATAGGGCAGTAAGACCCAGACTAGATGATGGCACCCCACGAGATGTAATTTGTTGCTTGCAATCATTCACCACCAAGGAGAAAATTATGAACAAATCCAGAACCAGACCCATGTGGCAACACCAAGGAGCATCGGAATCCCTGTTCCAGGATCTGTCGCCCCTAACACTGGAGGCCCGCAGGTTGCTAAGGCCAATGACACTCCAACTGCGAGACCAGAATATCCCATAAAAATGGGGATTCCCTTTTAGCCTCCTAGCCAAACAGCAAAATGACTGGATACCCCTAAGATGGCCTGATGAAGTCCTACACTTCCTCCAGCGCCTGGGCCTACCCCCCATGGAAGTCACCGACTGGATCATGGAACCGCTCTCACAAATATCTGGATCACCACCACAGCGTCTCCCGCAGCATAGAAGAGGGGGCTCCCCAGGAGGCTCAAGCCCACGAAGGCAACGAAATCCGACTCCACCAGAAGAATACACCAGATGTGCAGGAAGAGCAGATTCAGATGTGTTAGTCAATACCAGCAGATTTTAAGACGTCTCTGACCGGGGACTCTTCACTGAACCCATCATTAGCGACAACCACCCTCCATGCTGAGAAGCAAGATGCTGAGACAAAGTCATAAAGGCTTACCCTGCCCCCCCACCCCCACTAGATAAGCTCCCCCACCCAACCTGCACTCCGGCGCCCCCACATTTCGAACGGGCATATGACCCCCCATAGTTGCGGGCCCAAGATCTTGGCTTGGGGCCTAATGCCACGGCTACCTGAGACCCCACTGGTTCCCGCATCTTGATTTTAGGAGAGGGGTGCCAGGGGAGGTGGGTTTTCAACAATTACCGCTCATACCTATGCCTCAAGCCTGAGGAGACACCTTGACCGGCAGACCTGGGCGTGGGCCGGCTCATGTTTCGGGAGAAGTCGGATAAGGCCTCACTGGATGACTTATTCATGCCATGGGAGGGAAAATACTGGTATGATTGAAACCTACAAGCCCTCACATCCTCACAAAAACCAGCAAGGGGTTAGGTAGGCTCTGTGGGGCTATAATACGGGGAAGGAGGAGGAAGGATGAGGAACAACAGATAAAGGTGATAGGGGTCTACACTACATAAGGGGGGGGAACAATACTGGCAACTGCAGGGAGAGACGTAGGAAATTGTGGTGGGGGACTACGGAATGCAGAATGGGGAGTTGCTTCTTAGGGGAGGAGGGGCGAGAAGGGAGAATATATGGACGGAGGCAATAAAGGGGGGAACCATAGCATAACCACAAAGGGAGAAAACTAACACACAAAAAAGAGGGGATTAGGATGAGAAGACGGCGGAAAGAAGAGGCACCTGGTAGACACAAAGTAGAGGAGATTGAACAGACGAAGAGAGCGTAGAATGAGGTTGGAGGGAGGGGTTAACCCAGGGAAACCTCCCGAGAGACTGGGAGGTGACCTGGATCATGAATTTAGACTCATAATACTTCTATACATATCAATGTACTCATAAATGCCAGGTAACGCTTGAAGACGTTTCTGACCACTCCTATTCAATGCCAACTATAGCTCCCAGACCCCAAGACCATCGCTTACACAACTACAACAGACCTAGTATAGTTGATTGCGAAGCACCCCAGTTCAGCAATAGACACCCACACGCTCTCCATCACAAGAACATGGCCCCTGCTCACAGCCTACAACTCCCTGGGGTAGGTGAGCGAGCCCCCACTCCCTCGGCCTGACGCGAACTAGCTCAGGCAGAGATACCAAGGACTTTTAGTAGGAAATCCCTGCCCCACCACGGCAAAAGCCCTATGCGTACAACATGATTAGTAATGGACCCAACCGACCCACTACTAACTGACATTCCTACACCAGGCCTGATGAGCTAACCAGAAGCAGACCCTATAGATAGCCAACTATTACGCCACCACAACACCTTTCCATGATACATCTTCCGCATCGATAATGCATGGCAGGACTAAACATTTGTTAACAGGTCCATGGCACAAACACAACAACATGAGGGAACTAACTAACTAAGCTACACAATATAGAGCGAAACGGGCTCAGGGGACCAGGTCAAAGAGGACCCCCACAATCTCACATAACACCAAGGCCTAATTACGCTCAGTGTCACTACTATTCAACTAACATACGACAACGAGTGCATCTAACATGCTATCAAACGTGGACAAAGAGGCTAGATCAGACATCTGAACACATCACCCAACCCAGACACAAAGACAGGCCGAACCAGATGGACCAGACACGTGCTCCCAACCATACCCGTGTGTGACCGAACACTGAGGGAATTGACACTGAGGCTGCGCCAGGTGCAACCTGGGAATGGTTTTACACCAACCAACCACTCAAACACACGAGTTCCCCTCGATCGAGAGGGCACTGATACTTACAAACTAATCATCCCCCCTTCCCGGTTTTCTCTCGGACCTATCTCTCCCTTCACCCTCTTTTTCATCTTCTCCTCTTTTCCATCACAAGCAGAACGCGGCGGAGTGCCTAGGAATGGTCTTGTACTCACAGACTCCACAACTCCTCCACCTAACCTTCGCCCCTACACATACAACACTCGGTTCTGTCGCTTCCCCAGCCCTGCTCTCCCACCTGCAAGCCGCTGCAAAAGTCAGCGGGACGCGGCTGAGAGACCAATCACTTGCTTCTTCAGACCTACCTCTCGTCCTACCACATCCAAGGTCGGCGCGCAGTTGGACGACCAAACAAGTTCAAAGGAAAAGATGCAACAGACCTCACCACACCACACCTGGTGCCTCTCCGAGACCTGAACCCAGCATTCGTAACATGGCATACACATCGACACCGCTCCAAATCCTATTTCAGAACTGTAGAGGCCTAAACATCCCAGAAAGGCACACACATCTTTTACGTGAACCTAAACGCCAACATATCTCTGTCGCCTTACTTCAAGAAACGCACTTTGGGGGGGCGCGGCACCGACACTGAAAGATAAAAACTATTCGGTGAACTATTTTCGTAACCCCCCGGATGCCCGCAGGGCGGTAGTGGCGATTCTGCTGGCAACGAGCCTACAGTTGTCAATGTTGGACACCATGGCTGACCCAGAGGGCAGATACCTGTTTGTAAAAGCGGAGGTGTTGCAACAAATGTATACATTCGCCTCGATCTATGCACCGAATTGTAGGCAGGCTCAATTTGTTTGCAGGACACTGCACTTACTCTAGGGCTTCACAGAAGGCGCACTGATACTGGGAGGGGACTTTAATGTACAACTCGACCCCATCTCTGACTCTTCTACACGCCAAACTAGTAGTCCCCAAACGGCCATTCGTAGTATATGTGGATCTATCAGGAAATTTGGGGCTAATAGACACCTGGAGAGCAATACACTCAGAAAGGAGGGACTACACATACTATTCAGCACTCCATCGCATGAATAGACTATATTTTTATCCAACAGGAGGGTCTTACGCATCTACAGAAGGTGGAAATAACATCAGAGATAAACAAAGTATGTACTATATGTAAACACACAAAATAAAACGTACAACCACCCTACAAAGGTGTACCTCACAAACACTTGTAAATAAAATTAAGTAGACAAAAATACACCCCTGTGGGGAAGTATAAAGAAAAGGGTGGTAGGACACAAAATGGAATACAGAGGATACAACCTGAAAAACCTGAGGATAGAATGGTGATCGGAATCTAGGAATGAAAAATCA